GGTGTGATAATTTATGAACTTGAGGCCAATGATTATGTGCATCTTGAAGCTCGTTTCATTACCATTTATGCTAACAGTTCATTGGCACTGATCGTTTCGCTTGGTGGCCACGTAAGGTGCATAACGATCATGAGACACTGGTTCTTCGATGGAATACTGTGCCGAAAGGAATATCGTGTGAAAGTAACTTGACAAGATGGCTGATTGATATCCACCGAGCTATTCACGAAGCATGAAACAGTGAGGTCAAGCTTGCGTTGGGCCGGAGAAACGTATGGAACTATGTTGACGAAAACTTCGTTACGCGGGACATGTAAAAATAGATCGTGAAAAGCCGAATGTATGGCAACCGGTTATTCTGAAGTGCATTAAGCAAGAAAACGGTCGAGTTCCCCCAGGTATGGAAAGCTTACGAATCAATTTAACGTGATGTCTGAATTATGAACGTATGTGCGTTTTTAACGCGTTAACACCTTTTTGGAGAAAATAAAGTCTGCTTTGATCGAATGACATAAGTTTTAGACACATCGTTCAACCCACTTGTGTGTACAATGTAGATGGTTAAACATGTTTTTCTTAACATTTTATTAAAAATAAAGTAACATTGGAATCGTTTAACATTTAAATTTTATTTTAATAAAGTATATTCATTATCCAAATATGTATAGAATTCAATCTGTATTAATATAATTTAAGAGAATTAAGGGATAATCCATTTCTTTTAATACTAGGTTTACAGGACAGATAAAAAAGAGGGATTTCAAATGTTTTAATTTACGATTATTGAGATTGTAAACATATATCCATGGGCAATTTATTCGGTAAACTTGTTTCTTTGAGCATGTACTATGATAAGAGAACGCTCAAATTCTAAACAAATATATTTTTGTTGTTTTTATCAAGTAAATAAAAATGACTGCTTTTAATGCTCTATAAACCTCGTGTTAAAAATATTTGAAATAATTATGTCGGCATTCAACCAGCATTTACAACTAGATTAATGAATTTCTCTTCTGAATGAATAATTAAAATTCATCATGAGATCAATTTTTACGCTAAAAATTTATCACAATTGACGTTGCCCTCTTTTAAAATCAATCATTAGTTCATTAATGTGAACAGGATCGCATATATTTGTACAAATTCTACAAATTGAATTGTATGTTTACTTACACTTTTAGGGGAATGTAAATCGAAGAAAATACAGTTTACATTAAATTCTCTATTGAAGTCATTATTAATATCGATTAAAACGTAATATTCATTTTTTATTAGGAATGAATGAACGCGTAATCTTTGGGTGCAGAAAAATGTAGAAAGCAAATTAGAGAATTGATACAATAATAAACAACAGAACAGACACAGGAAATAAAATACAAAATAATAGAACCATGATTACTTGATTAAATTAAAATAAATAACAATAGTCACGATTCACGTATTTACAGTACACATTAGATATATGAACGTTACAATAAACTGATAAAATTGAATACCTGAAATGATTTGATTATGTAAATTTTATTGATCAAACCTTATCAATTGACACCAAAGCATTGGTTAAATGTCAGATCATTAAGTATTCTGCATGAGAAAAAGATGTAAATGTGAGACCTTGGGTCGACTAAAATACACAGAGAATAAGATATCTATTTCAAAAATTGAACAGATATTGAACAAACCACAGTGCTTTGCGAATTGTTAATCACTCAAAATTCCTTCAATTTTCATCCGGATTCTATTTTCGAGAATGGAGATAAATAACTGCATTCGCTTGATGTCAGGCTTAATTTCCAACAATAATAAATGAAATTCTCGAAAGTAAATTCTGGCGCATGAAATATGGGAAACAAATATTTGTTTACTGAATTAACGTATTAAACACTTGTTATAACGTGAAATATGAACGAGATACAAAGAAACACTAATAAAATAAAATCATCGACAGCAACATATTATAATATTCTATTAATCTGTTATTTACTATTTTTATATATAATAAATATGTTTAATATTATTTTAGTATAATTCCGTAATATAAAAATCAAATTTTTAACATAATCAATCGTGAAACTACATTTATAATGATTAGAAATGGTTATATATATTATATACAACTATATTCCAGTAAATAACCAAACAGAAAAAATAGGGGAATATATTCTTAAAATTTTCCGGAGACATCTGACATTATCCATCATTTATTTGCATTTATTGTATAATGCAATTTTAATGAAAATGAATGTCCTTTCATTCATTCGGATCAAAAATCTAGTTTTTTTTCTTGAAACTTATTTATTCGACATAAGATATACTTTAGTATGAAATATAGCACAAGTGTCGTTGCGATCGCAGCAGGTCATAATCAGGATAGAAAGCAAGGCCACAAGAAACTTGTTACATTCTACCAAACGGAAAAACTCTTTCGAAATTAGGGTAATCGACAGTACTTCTAGTCGGTGGCAACGAAAACTACCGATATCTCTGCGGTGTACGCGTGATAAGGCGTTAGACACGCTTTTATAGTGATTGCAGCGTGATTCTGAGCTCAGTCGAACACCGAACGTGTCGCCAGAAATTTCAAATCTTTGCCACACTACTGTGTAATGTAAAGAATGGTGGAAATATCATCGAAGAAACAAGGTTCGCGTTCTATTCTGTGGCAAATTGCAAGAAGATTTGTGTTCCATTTGTGTATTTTACTCGTAACGTTGAATATGTACCCTCGATGTGACAGCTTTAGCGAGTTTTGACAGTTACTTTAGCAAAGCAACTAAAATATTGAGTCGTGTATTTCAGTAATATAATAAATGAAAACATATTCACACTTCTTGCATGTTAATTAGAAAAGTAAAAAAGCTTCAACATTAACGTAACACTAGCCTAACATCAAATTAACGTAGAAATAAAATACTGTGACGTAACGAAGTAAAATCTGTTTTTCAAACATGACTATATTTATTTTTAACATGTCAAATGTTTGATGAATATTTGTTTTGATATACTTTTTAGAAGCAAGTAACTACGCTGTTTTTGTTATATCTTATAAAGAACAATTAAATCGTACCATTAAGAATATTTTATGTGTTATTACATTAAAATTATGTGTT